AGATTTTGGACATTTTTGATGTTCCATATGTATGTTGTTGGAGGTCCATGAGGATTTTTGTACTTTTGTTGGAGGGGGGAGAGAGGATCTTGTTTTGTAATCGGTAAATACTGTCTGGTATTGTTTTTGGCAACTCCATTTTAGACAACCCTGTTTGTTGTTTTAGTTTATTTTTGGGTTGGACTCTGAGCTGAGGGCACCGCCATGGTTTGCTGCCTGAGAGGTCTTGACCTGGAGGGATTTGCTGCCAGCGGTATCTTGGTGCTTAAAGTGCCTTGGCTCTTGGAGGAAGGCCTGAAGACTAGGCTAAGCTTAGTCAGGGTTTTGGCATTTAGTTAGTTGTAGGAAAATGGAGGTCTGCCATTTGTTGGTGCCAGTCATGCACTTCCTTGTGGTTGGTTAAATAATTTGGTATACTTTGACTTGTATTTTTTGGAAGTGGGTTTGTTGGGTTAGTTTGGTTTGAGAATGGATACTGTGAGTTCTTTTTTGTCTTCTCCAACATTAGAACTCTTGGAAAAGCTTACAAAGGAGCAGATTCGTCAAGTAGCCGAACACTTTAAAGTTGATCTTGAAGATGTAAAAGGATTAAGATTACCTCCACTAAGGAGTTTTTTAAAAGACGAACTTATAAAACTGAATGTCTTTACTGTCTCTCTTTCAGATGTTGATGTGACAGATGAAACTTCTCTTGGTTCAGGTTCCTTAACTGGTGCTCCAAAGTTGGTAGATGAATTGTCAAGCTCAACAGTTTCTCAAGCTTCTCAATTAAAGTTTCAGTCTAAGAAAACTGAGATGGAAATGCAGTTGGAGTTAGAAAAATTACGGCTAGCACATGAGCTTGAGGAGAGAAAACTAGCTTTACAGGAAAAGCGGCTGGCTCATGAGCAAGAAGAAAAGAGGTTAGCACATGAATTGGAGGTGAAGAAATTATCTTTGGAAGCTGAGCGTCTGAAGTTGAGGTCTGAGGGCAGGTTAAGTGGTGGATCTGTTAATCCGTCTCAAGGTGGTGATGGGTTTTCTGGACATAACTTGGTTAACATGTTGAAGCTGTTGCCTAAGTTTAATGAACAAGATCCTGATGTGTTTTTCTCTTTGTTTGAGGACATGGCAGAGGACAATGACTGGAGTGATCTAGATTGCTCCATGCTGCTGCAAAGTGTGTTGGTGGGTAAGGCCCAAGAAGCTTATGTTTCATTAGCGTCAGCTGAAAGAAAGGTATACAAATCTGTTAAAGAAGCTGTTTTGAAAGCTTATAAACTGGTTCCTGAGCATTACAGGCAACAATTTAGGAACTGCAGGAAAGCTGTAAAACAGTCAAATACAGATCTTGTCAGAGAATTAAACACCCAGTTTTATCGCTGGTTATCAGCTGAAGGTGTGGATGATTTTGAATCACTTCGTGACTTGATGGTGTTGGAACAGTTCAAGAACATTATTCCAGATCGGGTGGCCATATGTATTAATGAACAAAAGGTAAAAACTGCTGCTAAAGCTGCTGTCTTAGCAGACGAGTATGTTCTGACCCATAAAGGTGTGAGGGATTCTAATTTGAAAGGTGACCACAGCCTTAAGGAATTTCATCACGACCGGTTTCCTGGTAAAAATAGATTGGATCCTACATTGAGATCTAAAGTGGACTTGGTTTGTAACTATTGTCGCCAGAAGGGACACTGGAAAAATGAGTGCCCTCTGAATACTAAATCAAGTAGGGGGAAACGGGATCATCAAAAACCTGTGGCTTTAGCCAGTGTTGCACAGTTGCATTCAGTGGAGTCTACACCACTGCCTAAAGTTGAAAGCGTAAGACCAACTGTTTTAGCTGCACCTTGTGACTTCCAGTCTTTTTCAGAGCTGACTGATTCAGATCCCCAGACCTTTGAGAAGGAGGTCGGACAAGATTACGCTCCTTTCATCACACATGGGTTTGTTTCTGAGTGGAAGTTCAAATAAAGTGGCTGGAAAGATTCTGCATGACACCGGAGCTTCTGAATCTTTCATATTGGATTCTGTTTTGCCATTTTCTTCATGTTCTGATACTGGTCGTAGAGTCTTAATTGGAGGTATTGGGATGGAAACTTTCTCTGTGCCTCTCCATAGGATCTACTTGCAGTCAGAACTGGTACAAGGAGAAGTAATGATGGGTGTTCATCCTTCTCTGCCTGTGGAAGGTGTGTCTCTCATTTTAGGAAACAATCTGGCAGGTGGACGTGTGTGGCGAGATGTTGCACCTCCTCTAGTGGTCCGAGCGTCTCCATCTGTTTCCATGTCAGACAAATGTGCTCAAGACTTTCCTGAGGCATTGGCTGATAAGGAGGTTGAGTCTGGTAAGCCTAGTTCTGTTGAGAAGACTGCCTGTTTGCCAACTCTTCCTGTTCCTTTGTCACTCAGTGAGTTGATTGCAGCCCAGCAGGAGGACACAACCTTAGCTGCTCTGTTTGACCAAGTCCAGACAGCTGAACAGGACACAAAAATGTCATGTGGGTATTTTTTACAAGAAGATCTGTTGGTACGTAAATGGTTACCTTACAGTGACAAGGATATTGTTGGTCCAATTTATCAAGTTGTTGTTCCAGTCAAGTTCAGAAACCTTGTTTTGAAAACTGCTCATGGAGAATTGTCTGGTCATTTTAGAGTCAATAAAACTTATAATAGAGTTTTACGTCATTTTTATTGGTTACGTTTGAAAAAGATGTTGCTTATATACCTGCTGTTAAGCCTTTTGAACACTTGATCATTGACTGTGTTGGCCCATTGAGTCCTTCAAAGTCAGGATCGGTGTATTTACTGACGGTTATGTGTAAAAGCACTCGTTATCCTGCAGCATATGCTCTGAAAACCATTACAACAAAGTCGGTGGTCAAAGCCTTGTCTAATTTTATTTCAGTGTTTGGAATCCCAAAGACCATTCAAACTGACAGAGGTACCAATTTCACTTCACGAATGTTTGGTGAGATTTTGAAACAACTTGGTGTAGTCCATCAACAAAGCAGTGCTTATCATGCTCAAAGCCAGGGGGCGCTAGAGCGTTTTCACCAAACCCTGAAGGCATTGTTGAGGGCATACTGCACAGAGTTGAGTAGAGACTGGGAAGAAGGTCTGCCTTGGCTACTTCTGGCAGCTCGTGAAGTTGTACAAGAGAGCACAGGGTTCAGTCCAAATGAACTAGTGTTTGGACATCATGTGCGTGGTCCTCTCCAAGTTAGTTTTTAACTAACTTGGAGAGGTCTGAGCCACCATCAAACCTGTTTGACTACGTCAATGGTTTTCGTCGCAGACTTTTCTTGGCTGGCAAACTAGCTTCTGAGAGTCTTAAAAAGGCTCAGAGAAAAATGAAGCAATGGTTTGACCAGAAAGCTGAAAACGGAGTGTTTCATCCAGGAGATAAGGTGCTTGCCTTACTCCCCAATCAGGGTTCCCCTTTTCAAGCAAAGTTTTATGGTCCGTATTCTATGTTGAGACAGGTGTCAGCCCAAGACTACGTGGTTTCTACCCCAGACCGTACACGACCAACTCGGCTTTGCCATGTAAACTTACTAAAGCCTTACTTTGGGTGCATTTTGGAAGATAAAGATGTCAAGGCAGTTGCTGCTTCTGTGAAGGCAGACTTGAGCTGCAACGCAGGCTTAGATGAGGACGTGCAGACTCCAGATGATGCTGTGTTCCAGCCCAGACTTAAAAACTCTGAGATGTTGTCTAACATACAAACATTGAGTCATTTGTCTGCAGAAAGAAGTGAGCAGTTGAAGCAGTCCATTATGGATTTTCAAGCCTTGTTCAGTTACATTCCGACATGTACCAATTTAATTGAGCATGACATAGATGTGGGAGATGCGCAACTCATCCTTCAACATTTTTATCGTATTCCTCCTGAGAAGTAAATTTTTGGAGTCAGAACATCAGGATTTGCTGGACAATGGCCTGGCTAAGCCATCTTGTTCCAGTTGGGCCTCGCCATGTTTGCTGGTTAAAAAAACCTGACAGTGCTTATAGATTCTGTACTGATTATAAGAAACTGAACAGCATTACAAAGCCTGACTCCTACCCACTTCCTCAGATGGAAGATTGTCGATCAGGTTGGAACTGCAAGGTATGTGAGTAAATTTGATTTGCTCAAAGGTTACTATCAAGTACCCTTGTCTGCTCGAGCCCAAGAGATGTCTTCATTTATTGTACCATCAGGATTATACTCTTACACTGTAATGAGTTTTGGCCTTAGGAATGCACCTGCCACTTTCCAGCGGTTGAATCAAGTAGTGGCTGGATTGGAAGGTTGTGCTGTCTACTTAGATGATGTAGTGGTCTTCAGTGACACCTGGAATGAACACGTGCTACGTATCCAGAAGTTGTTTCAGCGTCTTCAGGATGCTCGTCTAACTGTGAACTTGGCTAAATGTGAGTTTGCAAGAGCTACAGTGACTTATTTGGGAAAAGTAGTTGGGCAAGGACAAGTGAAACCAGTGAGAGCTAAAGTCCAAGCTATTGATGGTTTCCCACCTCCTTCCTCAAAAGAGGAGTTGATGAGGTTTTTGGGGATGGTGGGTTACTATAGAAACTTTTTGTGAGAATTTTTCTACTGTAGTGGCTCCATTAACTGACCTATTAAAGGCTAAAGTCCAGTTTAGGTGGTGAACAGCTTGTCAGAAGGCATTTGAAAATGTCAAGGTCCTCTTGAGCACTGCACCAGTTTTGTCTGCTCCAAGATTAGACCGGCCATTCCAGGTACAGGTTGATGCAAGTCAAGTGGGTGCAGGAGCCATTTTGTTGCAGACTGACGAAGAAGGGGTTGACCATCCAGTGTGTTTCTTTTCTAAGAAGTTTAATCAACATCAACTCAACTATTCGACCATTGAGAAAGAGGCCTTGGCTCTTATTTGGGCACTCCAGCACTTTGATGTGGGTGGGGGTGCGTTTCCTGTTGTGGTATATTCAGATCATAACCCTTTGACCTTTTTGCAC